TAGAGGGAAAGTGACACACCTGTAGACACCTGTATGATGTCATATAGGGTCAGTATCAATGGCTTCATACAGGATTAATTACACCAGCTTGTTACATGCCTAAACAACAGGGATAACACAGCATTATTCTTATTGGGTACTTAACGGCCCATCAACACAAAAGATGTCATTAGGACCAATAAAAAGTCGACAAAACATGTAGAGATGTAGACAGGATTCTAGGTAATGACATGATAATACTACAGTTAAAGTGGTCTCTTAACACAGTGGTCGTTTAACACAGTGGTCTCTTAATACAGTTGTCTCTTAATACAGTGGTCTTTTAATACAGAGGTCACTTAAAACAGTGGTCTCTTAATACAGTTGTCTCCTAATACAATGGTCTCTTAATACAGTTGTCCCTTAATACAGTGGTCTCTTAATACAGTTGTCTCTTAACATAGTGGTCTCTTAACATAGTTATCTCTTAACACAGTTGTCCCTTAATACAGTGGTCTCTTAATACAGTTGTCCCTTAATACAGTGGTCTCTTAATACAGTGGTCTCTTAACATAGTGGTCTCTTAACACAGTTGTCTCTTAACATAGGTTCAGTTAACAATGAGATCACCACAATGGGGAACATTAAAAGTGGTCTCGTAACACAGGTGGAGGTGGTCGCTTGAGCAGGTTTGATTTAACTTATTTCAAAGGTATCATGTCACCGATGGTTACCCCACTAAGGGACAGCACTCTCCCTTAAAGTTGTATACCACACAGACCCCTTAAATTAACAGCGTGTCAATTGAGTTATATCCAGCTACAGGCCATAAAGTGGGTGGCTCCGTGACGAATATGGAATCGATTTAGAAGATAATAATAATGACAGTCACAGTTATTGTTTTATTTGGAATTATCTAATGTGAGTTTTATGTTACTTAATCAATGACATTGTCTACACCATCAAGTTCTGATTTTTCTAACGACTTAGCTGGCATGCTACAACTTAATGTTATACTTCATAATGTCGTATATCCTACCACACAATTATTTTAAAAAACCAACACAAGGATAGGCATTGGAAACAATGATTAACTAGATAAAAATAAAGAAAACCACATTCTATTGATCAACATAATGTAACATGCATAGTTGTCTGAAACAACTTGTTAAAACTGATATACTTGTGTCACCTTTAAACATAAATATAATGGCTGTTCAGTTAAAGGTTCCGAGTTCATTACCCTAGTGTCATTTAAACATAGACACATAAAATTACAAAGTTCCATTGTCACTCGTTCACAATGGGGGTAATTTCTGGCAGCTTTTAAGATCACTTTCATTACCCCTCCCCCAACCTTGCCCCCTCCCCCCACCCCACTGATTAGACTTTAGGGCACTGCACTCACTGTAGCGTAAATTGTAGCATTTATGATGCCAAACTCACACCACCTAATAATGGCAGAGTTAAAATTAGAACAGATCTTGTGTGAATGGAAATAAAAAGGCAAAGATGACTGTATTGTTATTAAAGTGCATGCTATTTCATTCTGCATGTACAAATGATTTAGACACAATTTTCATTAATGCAAAATAAACCCAGAACAAATGTGTTCATTGTATTTTGATCAAAGCCATATTCACATACTGGAAGTTTCTAACTGCAATTTTTTATTTAATTTTTTTCCCACCAAGTACATAAATGAATAAAAACAGAATAGACTTGTGTTAATTATAGACATATAAATAAATAATCTATTACTGAAAACAAGAAAAACAGAATTCCTGTACATTAACTTTAGACCTAAATCTCAGATATATTTTTTCTTAAATATGGTCATGACAAGCCATATATAAAACGGAGGGCATTACAAGGAAGTTATATGAAATATAAGTATGTATTTAGAAATCAGATGTGCTCAAATCTTACTATTGACAAAGACTACAAGGGTTGTCTCCCTTTCAAGGGACAGATTGCATTGTAATAGCAGTTCATATATTGATATTTAAAAAAAAACACTCTTTTTTTTGTCTATAAAGAATATATCTAATATCTATATATAACTCACAGTCAAAGGATAAATTCTAAATTTGGTAGTGGTACCTTCCAAAATAGACTTTTAAATTAATGGCAATTGTATGCTATCTGAAAGATTTACAGTATAAACCTTTCCACTGGCAGTCTTTGTGGACAAGCTTATACAGTCGAACCTCGTTATCTCAAAGTCGACAGGGTCGTAGGAAAACTTCCGAGTTATCCGAGTGTTCGAGTTAAGCGGGTTCATATATTTGGCATGAATATTTAGTATGTTTGGACATAGCACTAGCAGTCGTTACTCTTACAAAAATAGAGCAAGGTTTTTTTCCCGAAAAACATACCTTTTTTTAATGCGATGAAAATATAGACGGGCCTAGTGATTAAATGTTGATTTGGCTAGTCTTGGCAAAGTCTTTCTAGGTCTTCATTTGTATTTGCAAGTCCGTCAAGTTTTACCTCTGAAGTGTTATATTTAAAATTTCAACCCTAATCGATTTAAAAACAAAAGCGGTTTTAAAGTATTGATTATCCTGTGCTGGTCTAAATCTTAGGCTTATGAAATTGAAAGGAGTACAGCTGAAACATTTGGAAAATCTGTAGCACGTATGCACTTTATGTACCCATAAATGGGCAACTAAGTTAATATTGCATCAGTTTTTTTAATTTACATGGACCGAAAATAGGAAAATTACAACAATTAAGGTTGGGCTCTGGACATTTGTTTTTGAGGGCCTTCCCTGTGTTTTGTAAAAAAAATATTTTACACAGTTTAAATGTTATCTTTGGTAACTTAAATTAAATAATATAAAACATATTAAACAAAACACTAGTTACTGCCCGACTGTTTTCTTTCCAATTGTGTTGTTCCTAATTTTTAACAAACTTTGTTTTCTGTCCATAGAATGACAGTTACGATGTAGACAAGCCATAATTTCACTGATGGCCCATTACCAACATCAACAAAATGTTTTACTTAAGACAACGCAGTCCTGAACAAAACAAATCAGCGCCAGGAGATGAACCTTCGACTACACAGTAAAACCTGATGACAACAAATGAGCCTGACATTTATACTTGTTAAGATAGAGATATTCTGATTTCGACAAGCATTGTGTATCATATAAATGATAAGACATTCCAATATTTTTGACAAGCACCAAAAAGATCAAGATCGCGGCACCAAAAAGATCAAGATCGCAACATTTGTGACATCTCAGGCAGACATCTGCATCCATAGCAACTGGTTACATAATGCTGAAGAAGTATATTACAGATTTGTCGCTGACCAGACAAATCAGGAACTTATCACATCCGAATCGCTGTGCAATTTTACGCATCTCCGACCCTGCAGCTATGCCTGGACAGGTTACAGTGTAGAATGCTAGTATACAATCTCACGTCCACCTAGATCAATTCTCCCCAAAACCATTGAGATTTCTTGCTTACAATTATCCGTTTTGGGATGTTCGGTCAATAGTATTGACCTATACTAAAAATGGAAAATACAGTGTACCCAAATAATCAGTTCTAAATCTGATTATGTCACCTGAATAAGGTCAATTTTGTATATTTAAGAAACTTGTAAATTCAGACACTAATAATAATAATAATAATTGGTGGTTCTTATATAACGCTTTATCACAACCTAGTTCGTAGGTCGTCTCAAAGCGGTTCACAAATTATTACCCTTGGTTATATATAGGCCTTTGCACCCAGCCAATACATTTCTAAACTCCCTTGGGAGCATACAGCCGGAGCTGCCATTTCGGCGCTAACAGCTAGCATTCAACAATTCTAGCACTGCCCAACCACGTACTCATTTACAGCTGAGTAGACTGGAACAAGCGGAGTAAAGTGTCTTGCTCAAAGATACAACACATTGCCTTGCCGTGGCGCGAACCCGCAACCCTTTGGCATCCTACCACTGGACTACCGTGCCTACATTGGCATATTATATGCAATATCCTTTATATGTAATATCCTGACACATGTATAAACCAGACACATGTAAAAATCCAAAAACTTGTATAAACCAGATACCTGTATAAATCAGACACCTGTATAAATCAGACATATATATAAATCAGACACCTGTATAAATCAGACATACCTGAATAAACCAGACACCTGTATAAATCAGACACCTATATAAACCAGACACCTGTATACATCAGACACCTGTATAAACCAGACACCTGTATACATCAGACACCTATATAAACCAGACACCTGTATACATCAGACACCTGTATAAACCAGACACCTGTATAAATCAGACACCTATATACACTAGAAACCTTTAGTTTACAATCCAGACATTTGTATAATCTAAACACATAGTCCACTCTGACCCCTTTATACACCGTTAAAACTGTCAAAACCAGACAGCCGTATAAACCAGATACCTGAATATACTAGAAACCTGTATGATAGAGTCACATGTATAAACCTGTATAAACCAGACAATAAGACACCTGTATAATACAGAAAACTGTATACACTAGTTTTTGTATGTTTCACAGAATCAGTGCTAGGATTCCTCCTGTCAACCCTATTTAAATCATGTCAGTATTTTGTATAAAAGTATCATATGTTTGGCCACACTGGGGTTTTCCCAGGTCTTTTGAGAATCGTCACATTCCTTATATGATCGGAAAAAATGCTGATGCAATGAATCATCTAGATGCATGTTTCTCCTTTTATTTATTTCTGGGGTGGTTTTTTTTTGTAAAGCATGTAAGATGTGCTTTTGAAGTTCTGGCTATTAATCATCTACAAGGAAATGAAATTGTGTTCTACAAGAAACAATACGTTAACATTTTTTGTTTACAGATTTTGGGATATTTTCCTTTATTACATTGAGAAGGCAAGTCTGACTCTCACTGGTATTTTAAAAAAAAAATCTGTTTAATGGACCTACAAATGTACACAAGAAGGGTGATCAGTGCCTGATAGCTGTTAATGACAGAAAAAAGGAAACCTACCTCGCTGGAGGATGTTCTTGATTGCCATATAGCTGACTAGCAGACGGACAATCGAGGCTTTGTCCAGTTTTTCCAAATCACACAGACTCATGGGCAGGAGTTTTGTAAGGGTCTGAAATTCAACAGCTTCCTGATCTCGGCGTGACTTGGCAGCCACCTTGGATTTCTCAAGTCTGTAAGGCAATAATGTAAAATGATTAAATTAACGTAATAAATAATAATATGCATTTCTCAAATGTGTTAAAAATACTACAATAGTTCTTCAATATTCCAATATGGTTTGTATGGGCCGGGGTCTTGATTGGGCCGTGGGTTCGAGGCCTATGTGGGGCAGTCGTCAGGTACTGGCCGTAGGTCGGTGGTTTTTCTCCGAGAACTCCGGCTTCCCTCCACCACCAAAACCTGACACGTCCTAAACTGACCATAGCTGTTAATTAATGAACATGAAACACAAACAAACCAAATCAAACTAAAACTGGACTCAAATGGGATCATAATGACATGCATATATTTTAATTTACCAAAAAAAAAAGACGGCAAATACATATTGTCTGATAAAAAGATACACAATATGATTTTATATTTGATATAAATTGCTTCTCAAATCTTCAATTAAAGGACTGTGGGAAGGTAGATAACTCTTACAAAATGTACATTAAAATTTAAGGAATAACTAGAAAATTCAATACATTTAAACAGTTTAGGAAGATTCAATGATAAAAATATAAATATAGCTTAGGACCAGTTTTGGAAGTTATCACACCAAAAGATGTTTCAATATATAAGTTGCCAGACAAATACTGCAATATATATTAATTTTGGTATCACAATATTATTGCCAACACCTAATAATTTTAAGAAGTGATCCTTGCTTTTAATAGCTCACCTGGTACATGTATTTGTTTACAAATAAATACATAATTTTTAAAACAATTCAGACATGGTACATGAAACCTTTTTACCAAAAGAGTATAATTTATATATAAGATGAGGACAGGTAAATATTTTGTAATGAGTCTTGATAATACAATGCATATACCCTTTTTCAACAAGGTCCAAAGGATGTTCCTGAACAAATTAAGTCAAAATCCCTATTAGCCTTAATTTGTACGGAAGGAGATTTTTTTTTTAATATTATCTCTTTCTGCCTCTGTCTTCAAATAATTGTACAAGCATACAAAGTTTCATCAAAATTGACTAAGATTTAAGCAAGTTCTCTTGATGAAACCAAAGTGAGGACAGACGGATTGAAGAACCCTACGAAGGGATGGACGGATGGACGGACTGACGGATGGATTCTCCCCATATCATATAATACATCCGTCAAATTCTTGACGGGCATATAGTAAAATCCCTTTATTCCTTCAGAAGAGATTTTTGTATTTCACCTATTGGACACCAGCCTTCTGAGCTAAAATATCAATCACATACACTGTATTCAACCATGTATGTTATAAAACTGTATTCAATCTATTAAATATTGGAGAACTTAATTTAATTTGATGAATCAACAAGAGGCCCAGAGGGCCTGTATCGCTCCCCTGAATATGTTTAAAATAATTGGTATGAAGTAGGTGCTGTAAATACATATGAAATTTCAGAAAGATCCATCCAGTACTTGGGATATAGCGAGAACAAACTATCATAGACACAAACTGTTAACAATCCCCCCCCTGCCAATCCCCCCACAGCCTCTCCCAGCTATCACAGACACAAACTGTTAACAATCACTACCCTGCCAATCCTCCCACAGCCCCTCCCAGCTATCATAGACACAAACTGTTAACGATCACTACCCTGCCAATCCCCTTCCCACAGCCTCTCCCAGCTATCATAGACACAAACTGTTAACAATCACTCCCCTGCCAATCCCCCCACAGCCCCTCCCAGCTATCACAGACACGAACTTTTAACAATCACTCCCCTGCAAATCCCCCCACAGCCCCTCCCAGCTATCATAGACACAAACTGTTACGATCACTCCCCTGCCAATCCCCCCACAGCCCCTCCCAGCTATCATAGCCACAACCTGTTACGATCACTCCCCTGCCAATCCCCCCACAGCCCCTCCCAGCTATCATAGCCACAACCTGTTACGATCACTCCCCTGCCAATCCCCCCACAGCCCCTCCCAGCTATCACAGACACAAACTGTTGACAATCCCTCCCCTGCCAATCCCCTTCCCACAGCCTCTCCCTGCTATCACAGACACAAACTGTTAACAATTACTCCCCTGCCAATCCCCTTCCCACAGCCTCTTCCAGCTATCATAGACACTAACTGTTAACAATCACTCCCCTGCCAATCCCCTTCCCACAGCCTCTCCAAGCTATCATAGACACAAACTGTTAACAATCACCCCCCTGCCAATCCCCTTTTCACAGCCCCTCCCAGCTATCACAGACACAAACTGTTAACAATCACTACCCTGCCAATCCCCTTCCCACAGCCTCTCCAAGCTATCATAGACACAAACTGTTAACAACCCCTCCCCTGCCAATCCCCCCACAGCCCCTCCCAGCTATCATAGACACTAACTGTTTACAATAACTCCCCTGCCAATCCCCCCACAGCCCCTCCCAGCTATCATAGCCACAACCTGTTACGATCACTCCCCTGCCAATCCCCCCACAGCCCCTCCCAGCTATCATAGCCACAACCTGTTACGATCACTCCCCTGCCAATCCCCCCACAGCCCCTCCCAGCTATCACAGACACAAACTGTTGACAATCCCTCCCCTGCCAATCCCCTTCCCACAGCCTCTCCCAGCTATCACAGACACAAACTGTTAACAATCACCCCCCTGCCAATCCCCCCACAGCCTCTCCCAGCTATCACAGCCACAAACTGTTAACAATCACTCCCCTGCCAATCCCCTTCCCACAGCCTCTCCCAGCTATCGCAGACACAAACTGTTAACAATCCCCCCCCCCAGCCTCTCCCTGCTATCACAGACACAAACTGTTAACAAATCACTCCTCTGTCCATCCCACCCACCTATAACCCCCTCCCAGCTATCACAGACACAAACAATCTCTCCTCCGCCCACCCCCAATTTACATTCATGCATTATTAAAACTGATCACATGTCATCTGATATCAGGTAAAATGTCAATTTCAGCGACACTATCATAACATTATCGCCTTACTCTTTCTATACTCATTTTCTTATTTACCTTCAAGGTTTTATATATATGTCTGTGATAATATACACTAACTTCAACAAGAGTCCTTTGTCTTGTCAACTGCTCATGAAATTATGACAAACTTATTCATCCTGCACATGACATAGAGTATTAAATCATTTTAAGTAAACAAATTGTCCTTTTAATTACATGATTGAGAAATATTTTCAACCAATCTAATTATTCAAAGTACCAGAACATTTCTAAATAGCGTGATCTTGCCAGGAGTGTTAATACAACACAGATCAGTACAATAGTTTAACAACGGTCTGACAAATAATTAACAACAATTAGAAGACTAGGTTAAAAATTATATCTTGAGTTGTTTATAAACTTGACTCATCTTGTTCATGCTTATAATTGTCTTGTATCGAATAGAAAGATTGGATTGTTATTTGAAATGAGTGAAGTAATTATAATATTAAATTTGGCCTCCAGGTGGCAATGCTGAGAGCACCTGTACCCTATATTAACAGGTACATTTTCTAGTTATAGCAATCAAATTGTCACATACATGCACAGAAAACATATATTCTGTTAAAGGACATCCATCCTAACTATAGGTAGCAGTATACAGTAGAAATGGCCCGACTCTGATAAACAAGGCAAATGCCGAGGAAATGTAAACACAGCGGATTTACCCTACACAACACATGTATACATGTATATATATTTGTAAACTGCATTACATTTACATTAAATATAAAGTACTGAGAAGTGTATAAACCTCTTTTTTCTATGTATGTCACTTGTGTGAAATCCATGGTTACCACATCAAAAATGACCAAAAAATGCCAAAAAATTGCTATTTTTAACCCAAAATTTGACCCCCGCAAATAGTAATTTTTTTCCTAAGCTCTGTCTGAAATTAAAGAATACCTACCTGGTTGCAGAATTATCTGGGTCCCAGTAAAGTTGTAAAACTTGATTTTTTGCAATTTTGCGTCGTGTGCTGTTGTCAAAATTTTACCTCCTGTAAAGCTAGCTTTTCATGTGTACGCACCCTTTCGGATTATGGCCAAACTTTTATTCTCGAACCAAAAAAATCTTCTTTCTTTTTTACAAATGTGAAGCTCACATAGCCCACTTCATCATGCTTATACCAATTTTAGTACAGTTTTATTTTTATATTT